CCGCTTGTTACGCCACTGTTAGCTGCTAAACTTCAGTTACAAAGCAAAAGCAGAAAAAAACACTCCCTGCAACCGTTGCCTTGTATTAAAAGTGACAATTCAAGTTAGACTGGCTCTAAAACACAAAAGATAGTGTTCATCTTCCTGGTTTCACACTATGTATGGTACATTTTAAAGAATGGCACTAAGTGAAATTTTCCCTAATTTCAATTAAATTATAGTCCCATTAAACATTTAGAAAATCTACAACACTGAATAACAGAAACTACAGATACTATGATAACAACATCAGCAGCCTTAAAGGAGAACTATGAGGCGAGTGCTTTTCACTCACCTCATAGTTCTAGCCGACCTGTGACATTGAGACTGTCACAGGTCGGCTCAGTAGATCGGGAGGTGAGCGAACACATACTGGCGTTCGCTCACCTCTCGATCCTGTCACAGCTCTCTGCCGTGACAGGGGAGGGGCTGGATTCCTCCCTCCCCGATCCGCCAGTGCAGACTGGTGGAACGGACGGGGGAGGGTACAGCTGGCTCTGCCTCTAGATAGGCAGAGCCAGCTGTCAGTCACGCAGCTGGGCGGATCCGCTTCAGCTGCGGCGTCTCAGTATATTGCGAGCTACTGAGCCTAGGGTGATGAGAGGACGCTAGTTTGTGTCCTCCCGTTACCCTGAAGAGAACTATGGGGAAAATATGCTTTTCTTTAAATTTTGCATTCAAGCCTGGAAAGCATTGCAACGGTGATCATTCGATCAGGGCTGCAAAGCTCAGGCTTCTGCACATTCTCTCCCAAGCAGAGATCCATCTTGAGGTACGGAGTTTCAGTTAGGAGAGATGGGGATGGACGGCTGGACTTCGAACTGGATTAAATCATCTCATATAGCGTCCAGCTGTCCTCTATCTGGTTAGATGCGGTAGAGCTGTCCTTATTCCCGTCCAGCCATCCTTCCTCATCTCTCCTAACTGATACTCTGTACATCACTACGGAGCTCTGCCAGTATGAGAATGTGCACAAGCCTGAGCTCTGCAGCCCTGATCGAGTGATCACCGTTGCAATGCTTTCCAGGTTTGAATGCAAAATTTAAAGAAAAGCATATTTTGTTGTAATATTATTAATTATGCATTTCTTTAATTTTTGCAAAAGGTGAACTTATGCTTTCATAGAGGTTGTCCGATGGTTCTATTAGTAATAAAAACACACTTCTGAATAAAAAAATTTCACCAAACATGAATACTGACTGGAGGGTGTAAGATGCCAGACAAGATTACATAAAGCTTTACATGGTGTGCTAGACCATCTCTGAGTAATCACAAGAAAACTACAAAACATTTCTGAGAATGATGTAATCTGGAGCGTTGTACAGCTTTAAGGTATCGTTTTTCTCTCTATACCAGACCAGATTGTCACAAAAAACTGTATCAGTGACATTCAAAGTGTGTATGGCTATATTAAACTGAGCAAAATGACATCAGATGCCACTTAGCTGAGAAACCATCATTTCTGGTTTTAATACTGGAAATAATGGCACACCGTGCCCTCAGATAACGCCATAATTTGCCAAAAACAATAGCATCTTGTACACTAAGGTGATGATTTATAAATTACCCGTCCCTACATACGCTGGAAATAGGACATTCCTATGCTCCTCAGCTCCATCTAGTGGTGAGAA